TCCACTGGACTCTTTTGGATTGCTAGCTATTGTGTGTGTGGGGGGGGAAACGTGCAGATCTGCCCTCACAGAGGAGGAAGAGCTTGTACCGGAATAAAACTTGGTCTTAAAGGTGCCACTGGACTGTTTTGGGCCTGGGGGCCGGGGGGGGGCTCTGCAGCTTACCTGGCTGCTTCTTGCTCTGACTGAGGGCTTCTGGGAGCAGGGGGTGTGGCTTATTGTATGTGCCCCCCCCCGGGCTCTTTACTGCCGGAGCTCCGCTCCTGTGTGCTCCCGCAGGAAATGACCCCTGCCTGCCCCAGACTGAGAGTTCCTGTCTATACCTTGTGGCTAATAGCCACTGATGGACCTCTGCTCCATGTGTTTATCCAATTCCCTCTTGAAATTGTCTGTGCTTGTAGCTGCCACCTCCTCCTGTGGAAGTGAATTCCATGTGTTAATCACTCTTGGGGTGAAGAAGTACCTCCTTTTCTCCATTCTAACCCGGCTGCTCAGCAATTTCATTGAGCTCCCACGAGTTCTTGTATTTCTGCTTTTTCACCCAGGCTAGGGCTGGCCACCCCCAGGTTAAGCAGCAAGGGAAGTAGCACGCTGGATCATGGCTTCCCCTCATAAGCCCGCCAGCCAACCGACCAACTCGCCAGCCCGGCCAAGCCCTGGAACTGCAGTAACAGCTGCCTGAGCCAGATGCGAGAGCCGCCTTTCTTGGCTCTTGCCATCCAGCTGCAGGCGCTTGCATAAGCCGGGCATGCCTGGAGCTTGGCGGAGGAAGGCAGGCAGCACCACGACCAGAGAGGTCACCCAAGAGACAGCAACCTGGCTCTGACTTTTGGAAGGTGGAGGGGAAAGGAAATTCAACCCCCAAATCAGCACCTTGGAGGAACAGAACAGATTTTGATCTCCCAAGAGAATTGTTACAAAAACATTACCCAGTTGCTCTTGTGTGCAAGTGATTCCAGTTTTTGTTTCTTTTCCCAGAAGGTCTTAAATAAACTGGTATTTTTCCCAGGACAGACTGGCTGCTAAGGGACTGGTGTTGCTTTCATTTCCCCCCATAGCTGCAGTCTACAATTTAAATTTAGAAGGGGGGGGAAGGAATTCAACCCCCAAATTGAGACCATTTGCAATAGCAGCTCCTTCTAAACTTTACCCCTGTCCTTTAATTTTTTTTTACAAGTGGCATGAGACTAACATTAGTCTCATAACGCTAGACTCATGCCGCTTGTAAAAAAAATTAAAATGTACTTTAAAACAACAGGAGAAAATAATCAATGGAGCTTGCTCACCGATTAATGGTGGAAAGTACAGAGTGGGAGGGACAACCTTGATGTTGGCAGGGACTGACCTTCCAGGGCCAGGAAAGGGGTGGGGGCGAAAATCCGAGGGAATATGTATGCTTTTGAATTAACTTCAGCTTGGAAAGCGAAGCAAGGGGAAAAATCAGCAGAAAAGCGTTCTCAGAAAACCCAGGAAACAGTGACTGGAGAGTGAACTGAGTGCTGGGGGGTGGGGGGATCAATGCAGGATGGAAAAGAAAACCCAACAGACATGCACAGTGAAAGCAAGGGGAAATGCAGAATGACAAAGAAAACCCGACGGACATGAATGGTGAACACCGGGGAAAATACCCGTGCATAAAAGGCCTAAGACACCCAGGTTCACATGCCCAATCTGCCATGGAAGCTTGCTGGGTGACTGTGGGCACATCACACCCTTTCATTGTAAGTTACCTCACAGGGTTGTTGTTGTGAGGATAAAATGGGGGAGAGGAGAACAACGGAAGCCACTTTGGGTCCCTGTGGAGGACAAAGGCACAGTATGACATTTGTTATGAATCTAATTTTGGCTACAGATCACACACACCAAAATCACTCTTGCTGTTGCTTCATGAAGTATCACTGCAAGTTCTTTTGGCAGAAGGCAAAACTGCTCATTCAGTACTCAAAGCGCTGTTATATGCTATGAGAGCAACGAGCTATGAAATCGGCCAACAGAGCAAGCAGGCACACATCCTGTTGTCAATAATTAGTTGTTTGTTCTTGAAGTTGGGATCATTGTTCCCTCTAAGCTGAGTTAGTGTGAGCTAGCTCACAGTTTTTTAGCCTCCGGCTCACACATTTTTGTCTTCGCTCGGGAAGGATGGCTCCAAAGCAAACTGATTTATGCAGCGGCCAAATCGCTCGCTCACAACTTTAATGCTAGTAGCTCACAAGGTGGAATTTTGCTCATAAGACTCCACAGTTTAGAGGGAGCATTGGTTGGGATGCATGCCACATACTGCTTTTCTCTTTGTGGCTGAGGCCATTACTCATGTGAGTGCCATCAGAATTCATGCACATTCTCTGTCTCTGTCTCTCTTCCATTCCCATCAGAAGAAGATGATGATGAAGAGTATGAGCATCCGGACAGTGAGACAGAACAGAAATCAGATGGTAAGTTGTGCTTCGTTGAACTATGGGGGAAAATTTAGGATACTGTTTGGCCTAAGCCACATCTCCGAGGCTACATCACTTACTACCATGTCCACTTTGTGCCAGACAAACTTTTGATAAATTGAAAAACCTGAATAGACATTGTGGCCACATACCTGCCACAGTAAGTGACAGACATTCTGTATTAGAGTGGTGACAGAAAGTGCAAGTGGAACAGAAATTATGCCATTCCGCAGGGCCTGTAAGGCAGAGATGTTCCGCCAGGCTTTTCGTTGAGGGTAGCAATGGTTTTTTTCCTTGGCTGGCACCCTCCCTCCTCTTCTGTATTCTTGTCTTGAGTTCCTTCTCCCCCTGCCCAGAAATTACAGGACACCATCTTGGAACTTTTATTCTGGTTTTTAGGTTTTGTCAAATTGTATATTGAATTTTAATGTTTTGTATATTTATATGCAGAGCTTTTTTTGTAGAAAAAGCCCAGCAGGAACTCATTAGCATATTAGGCCACACCTGACAGTGCAGCTCATTAGCATATTAGGCCACACCCCATTCCTTTCCTTGGCTTGCCCAGGTGCCCTGCGGCTGCGGGGAGCCCGGGCAAGCCGGCCCTTGGACAGGCTGGGAAAGGCTGGTGCCACCCTGGCCCACCCGCCTTCGAGTCATCAGGGGGTGGTCGCTCTCCAGGCTTTCCCTCTGTAGCCACACATGCAGAGGTTTTGGCTGTAGTGGGCGTGGCCAACTCTGAAGCCAGCTGGAACTCCATTCCTGCGCGTTCCTGCCCAAAAATAACCCTGTTTATATGGCATTATGCTCCCTTGTACATCACCCACAGCCTGGCATAAGCTGGGATAGTGCGATTAACAAATCAAATTAATAATAATGATGATGATGATGATGATGATGGCATTATGCTCCCTTGTACATCACCCACAGCCTGGCATAAGCTGGGATAGTGCGATTAACAAATCAAATTAATAATAATGATGATGATGATGATGATGTTGATGATGATGGAAGACCCACAGCATTCCACAACCAGTATCATACACATATTGTGCATTCATCCAAGAATCCTTTGCTCCATCACAAGGATGTCTGAGGTGTGCTTCTAAGTTTGATCCGGGCATTAGAAACAGATTGACTCCCATGGTTCACGACCAGTGTGGAAGTCTATACCTGGTTGTGGCCCCTGTTTACCTCTTACAAGACCCCTGCATGCTGCCCTGAGAGGGGCACAGTGCATCCCTAGAAGAAGGGGAAGAACCAGAGCCCTGTCAGAGCCAGTGGGATGTTGGGGATGATGACAGGAAGGGGGGTGGGTTGGTTCAGAGGAAGAACGAACAGCATAAAAGTGGGCTGCGGAGGAAAAACAAGGTAAGTTGTGTGGGCTGAGAAAAGAGCGGGCCAGCCTCCTCAACCCAGTCTGTTTTCTTCAGATGAGGACAACTATGAGAACACCCAGGAAGAAGTGAAACAGGAAGACGTGGTTTTAAACGGTAATAGTCCTTTCCTTTCCCATCAGCAAGACTTTATCACAGTTAGTTTCATTAGGAGTGACCCAGGCTTAGCAGCATCTTAATGAGGGGCTAGGCGGTCTGTGGACAGCTGCAAAAGCACATTAGACTTTGGAGGAAAAATTCTGGGTTGTCATTTTTTGGGGAGGGTTGCTCGGCCTGTGCTAGTCCCAATGGTTGTATAAAAGGTAAAAAGGTAAAGGCTTCCCTTGCTCGAAAGCCAGTCGAGTCCGACTCTAGGGTTGCAGTGCTCATCTCCGTTTCAAAGCTGAAGAGCCAGCGCTGTCTGAAGACGTTTCCGTGGTCATGTGGCCGGCATGACTAAACGCCAAGGCGCACGGAACGCTGTAACCTTCCCACCGAAGTGGTGCCTATTTATCTACTTGCAATGTCTTGCTTTCGAACTGCTAGGTTGGCAGGAGCTGGAACTAGAGACAGGAATCACTCCGTCATGCGGCACACTCGGGTCTCAAACTGAACTACTGACCTACCACAGCCTGCAGTTCAGCGTCTTAACCACTTGATGGTTGTATACTGATCATCAAATCAATAGAGAGAAGCTGTTTAAGTTATTTACTATTAAATGAGAACGAGAAACTGCGATCAGGTGTGCAAACACTGAGCATGAAAATTATGAATTAAATCAATAAAGAGTGTATTCTATTTTTCTTGTTCTTCTTATTATTCTTATTAAGTCTTACAAAAACTTAGGTATACAGAAATACATTCATATATGTGAACATTCAAATCAAGATATACTGTATTAAATACACTGAATCCAGTCCGGAAAAATACAGTCCAAAAAGCCCAGTCTGGGACAAGGTATTCAGATGAATCGTAGCTCATTTCAAGTTATAAACTTTTCTTCAGCCAAAATCCAATCCAAAATCCAAAATCGAGAAACAAAATCCAGTGGTCAAAAGATGAGTCTGTATAAGGTAGCATGTCGCCGCCGCTTCTTGATTCCTTGCTTGGCTGGAGCCCGATTTTGAGGGAGGGGTACCCCCCTGTCCTCCTACGGACAGGTACCCATTTACCTAACCAATCCAATTGAGAAACAAAACCCAGTTGTCAAAAGTTGACTCTGTATAAGGTACAGTTCATATATATTTTAGAGCATATAATATATACAAAGAGCAATCCAGATTCTCACAAGGACACTAAGTCAGAAGATGCAATGAACTTATTAGTGTCCTTGTGAGAACTGGCACACTTCATCACAGTGTCTCGTTCTCATTGAATAGTCATTCTGCTGGCTGTGATTTCCTGTTTGTTTAAGTGATCTACAACATTATAGGTTTCAAATTATCTTTAAACCAACTGGAGACTCTTTTAGGTTACTCCAAAAAAAGGGGGGGGCCTTGCTAAAGAGGAGAAATGTGTACAACATCAACTTTATAGTTTGTATTATAAAACTACATCCGTGGTGGGTTAAATTCTGTCATCCATGGTGTCAGGCATAACTTGAACAACGTCTCCCAAGCTGTTCTTCCATCCCAAACTGCAACAGTGCTAGAAACATAGGTCTCCTCTCTGAAGAAGTGACATTAGTGAATCGAAGAAGAACATGGATTAGGTACATGATGGATCCTGTAAGGTTTGCCCATTGGGCTTTATGAGTAGGGCTGCCAGTTCCAGGTTGGGAAATACCAGGAAATTTGGGGGGGGGGTGTAGCCTGGGGAGGGCGGTGTTTGGAGAGGGGAAGGACGTCAATGGGACATAATGCCACAGAGTCCACCTTCCAAAGCAGCCAGTTTCTCCGGGTGAACTGATCTCTGTTCCCTGGAGATCAGTGGTAATAGTGGGAGATCTCCAGCTGCCACCTGGAGATTGGCAACCCGGTTTGTGAGACCTACTGCAACTGGACAGAGCTCTCCAAGTGGTCACCATCCTGCTACTACTTGAGACCCATTTAAACTAGTGATGCCAGTGACTGAGAGCCAAACCGCGTGAGAGGGCAGGAATTCGCAACTGGATTTCCCATGGAGTTTTTTTTAAAAAATGTTAAAAACAACCCCGGGTGGGAGGAGAGTCTGAATCAGATTGGGGCCAATACATTGGGGGGGGGAGTGGCGACTTTAAAACCATGGGGTTTTCAAGGCAATACATAATCACAGGCTGTTTGCAATTGCCTCCCACTGCATAGCAACCCCTGTCTTCCCTGTTGGCCTCTCATTCAAGTGTTAACTATTCCTGATCCTGCTGAGCTTCTGGGCTCCGACGAGGTTAGGGATGCCAGCCTCCAGGTGGGACCTGGGTACCCCCTAGAATTACAGCTCATCTCCAGACTACAGAGATCGTTTTCCCTAGAGAAAATGAATGCTCTGGAGGGTGGGTGGCTGGGCGCTATGGCATTGTACCCCACTGAGTCCTCCCCAGGCTCCATTCCCAAATCTCCAGGAGTTTCCCAACCTGGATCCGGTAACCCAAACCCACGCCAGGGGGGACCAGGCAACCCTAGGTGCGATTAGGCTAGTCATGGCTATTCAGGCTGCTGTAAAATGACCTGGGATTAGAGAAAAGGTTAAATAGCCTTCCCTCCTGCAGTGCTTCTTCCCTTACCCCACAAACCCTGCTTGCCCTGATTTTTTTCTCCTGCCTTGGTGGCTGCTTTGAACCTGTAGGGAAAAAAACGTGAGAAATCCTGAATCTGATCAATGTGCCATGAGTCTAGGGCAGTGATGGTGAACCTTTTAGAGACCGAGTGCCCAAACTGCGACCCAAAACCCACTTATTTATCGCAAAGTGCCAACACGGCAATTTAACCTGAATACAGAGGTTTTACTTTAGAGAAAACCACTCATACATTAACTTAAGATGATCCAAACAAAGTAAGGAAAGCAATCCCAAATGCTCTCATTTACTTAAAATTATTTGGCAGAGAATTCAACACTTTAATGATAGTCTGGGCCTGGCTGGGGTGATGGCACACGTGCCTGCAGAGAGGGCTCTGAGTGCCACCTCTGGCACCCGTGCCATAGGTTCGCCACCACTAGACTAGGGCTTTCTGCATGCAAAGCAGATGCCCTGACTCTGAGCTATGGACCTCGTTGCATTTCTTGCTAGCTTGGCTTCGTTAAGCAACAGCTGTTCTTCTTCCTTCCACAGATAGTTATGAAAACAGCAAAAAAGAGAGCGGTGGCTCAGGTATTGAGGGGGAAGGGGATTTTATCAGTGTGTGGGAGGGACACGAAGCAGGTTTGAACGGTATTATTGTTGGCCTCATTTTCTTATGACGTGCTTTCTTTTGGCCCAGCTGACTGTTGGTATGCGAACAATTCTCAGAAGGGCCTTCAGGATCTAGCCCAGGATCCAGTTTCTGAAGGTAATATCTGAATGGAGAAAAACCCACCAAAACAACCAGAGGTTTTTAACGTCTACAAAAATATGCAGGAGGAAAAAAAGGACAGCCATGTGGGAAGGAAAGGCCATCTATTATTCCTTGCAGGCTTCAAGTCACACTCT